TTCAAAAATTGTATTCTTTATAGTTTTAATTTAAAAAGACTAATTTTTTTGGTAGAAAAGTTTTTATAACAGTGAATATAAAAATTTTTTTCGCGAATAAAAGGTTTAATATTGAAAAGAGTGATTTGATTCGAATAAATAAATAAAATTGACTAAATAAATGGCTTAAAAACTAGTGTTCAATATTGAAAAGCCCGAGAGAGAATTGCTATAGAAATTTTCACTGGAAATTCTGACTAACGAAAAATTCTCATGAACTTATCAAATGCCATCGTTTCTTCATCTCAAACCAAAGGATTCCAGTGATTAACTGAAAAATCAATTAGAGCTTCGTTATTAAACCAGTCTTGAGCCGTAAATATTTGGGCTTTTGCTTTAAAAATTAGCAAAATCCCATGCGAACAACATTCCTAAAGAAAAGGTCGTTACTACTTATTATATTATTAAACAAGCAAAAACTTTAAAAAGCTACTTATCGATTGTGTTTTTAGCCATAAATCTCTGTACTGGAATAAATGATAGCTTGATTAATTTTCCATTAGATCACAAATATTCAGTTGCTCCTTGACGAAAGGGCAGATGGTATAAGATAAGTGCATGTCCCTCAAGCTAAACAAATCGAATAGCATTAAGCCAATTTTTTAGCCAATTTGATTTCACAAAAAAATAAATAATTAATTTATTTCAGTATTTAAATTTAAGTGAAAGTAAAATATATGGGTAGTATTGCCTATTTTAACCTTAATATTCAAAGAATTCGCACCAAGTAAGAATTTCTTAATTAATTAAATGATTCAAAGCACCAATTTTTGTCGAATTTACAATCAGCTCTAATTTGAAAACTGACAAAGATCTTGATGAGAAGCATCTGCACGGACCCCATCAATACAACGGACACCACCATTAACAATACAGTCCTCTCAAAACTCCTGTTTTAAATAAAAACTTTCTAAATGTCTATTCCTTTTTGTAAAGTAAGAATATCATCATGTATTTTTTTGTATGTTGATTCAATATCTTCTATTAAAAGATGAGTATCTTTACATAAGAATTCGATATCTTTAGGTAGGATTTCGAAAAATTCATTCATGGTATATTTTATATTTTGATAGGTTATGAACCTTTCTCGCCCATCCACATTTTTGACTTCATAATTTGTTAAATAAATATCCTTTCTAACATTTATCGCATCTAATTCTGATTTTTCGGCGTCAACGGTTTCAGAAGCAGTTTGATAACTTTGTACTCGTTCACTGTTAGTAGAATCTTGAATTTGTTGAAATATGAATCTTTACTTTCTAAAACCGATGAAGAGTCATTGTGTTGTATTGTATGATTCTCATTTGAAGTTTGTAAAATTGCTTTATAAAATTGAAAATAGAATTGAATAGAGAATGTTTTTTCTATTTGGTTGTTTAATTCCGCAAATTTATTTATTGTTCGATTAAATTGGCGAATGATGTAGAGATATTCATAAAATCACTAATCTGGTTTCTATGTTTATATAATGTTAGGACAATGAATAGTAAATTAAAATATAATTTAGTGGTGAAGATTTGAATTCGAGATTTTTTTGTAAATTTTCTAACTTTTAATTGGGCGATATGATTATTAGGTGTTAAATGAATTTCTTGAATTTGATCATCTTTATGAATTTTTTTATAAGGATTAATATTGAACTTAAATAAATACGTAATTATTAGCTCGAAGCAAGAATGAAGCGTAGATTTCGAGTCAGTAAAGATTCGGTTTCCAGTTAATGCTAAATCAAACCATAGTTTGAGCTATAAAGAAACTGAATGTTTGTTATTATTAGAAATCTCAGGTTTATATTTATTGACTTTGTTATTGATAGTTTTTTGAAATAATATTGCGATTGCAACATTTATAATAGAAAAGAAAAATAAATATGGAATACACGTAAATGCTAAAATAAATATTGCAACTAGTATTGCAATGATAGTTGATAAAAGAATCAATATGAATATGACAAAGGTGTCAATAATTTGTTTAGTGATTCTTCGCAAAAGATTTATTAAATAAATAAAATATTCTGATTTCATTTTGATTAAGGAGCTGAATGTTTTCATGCTCCTTTTAATACATTTTGTCGTAAATGAACTTGTTCAAATAAGGAGATATTTAATTCATTTTTGTTTTATCTTTGCCGCGGTTATTCGTATTACCTATTTTACAAAACATTAAAACTAAACTCCGAGTTATGTATGATTTACAATAATGATTAATAATATTACAGTATAATATATAAAGCAGATCTGTTATACAATTATATGCGTTAAAACATAAAAAATTTTTTAGCATAAAAATGAAAAAAAATAAACACTACAAAAGTTCCAAGAAAGGTGTAAGTAAACAAAAATTTATCTTTTGCTAAGTATTTAATGATATAAACAAAGGTTAAGATTTCAATTCTTCGCGCACTATTGCAAAAGGCTTTGTTCGATTGTTTTTCATAAATGCACTTGTTCAAATCAGGGATAAGTAATTCGTATTTAATTTAATTTGTGCTATCTTCGCCGTTGTCATTCGTGTTTCCTATTTTACAAATATCAAAATGAAACTCCAAGTTCTGTATGATATACAGCTATGATAATGATAAAGTTAAGATTAATATACGTGTAATATAAATGCTGATCTGTTACGCAAATATATCGATGATTCAGAAATAATAGAATTGCTATATAGAAATGTAATAGTTAAGTGGGTTATTTGTAATTTTTGAATCAAGCCTTTAAATATTTGATCATGAGGAAATGGACGATAGCCCTTGAGAATAAGATGAATAAGATTAGGACAGTTGTCTATTATAGAAAGCATCACTTCCTGTGTTAATACTTTATTGATTTTTTCAATCTTACTCTTGATCGTAGTGTCTGTTGTATTAATAAAAATTTTCTTGATCTGTTGATTTAATTCATATTTGATCTGGTTATTCGTATTACCTTACCTTATTCTTACAAAGCGTCAAAATGAAACTCTGAGTTATGTATCATATTGCATTTTATAATAACGGTTACGCGTATTAAAATATATTTGATATAATTTTTTAATTAAAAATTTTTTAGCATAAAAATATGAGAAAAATATAAATACTACGCAATAATCAATAAGATTCCAAGAAAGTTGTAGTGTAACAGAAATTTATCGACCACTAAGAATTTAATGATATAAACAAAGTTTAAATTCTTCACGTTGGTAAACTTATATTTATAAGAGCTCATACTTATAATTTTCATAATTCATACAATTAAGAAAAATTATTTAAGAAAAAAAATTAATTCTAATCGTATTCAAATTTATATTTATCTTTAACCAAATGATTCATTATTATAATTATATGTATATATGAAATTTACATTTTATATTTAAGTTTCTTGCCAAAGATATTATTCAAGTAAAAACTAAAACTAAATTGATAACAATCAGCTAATACTAAAAAGCACATAATAGAAATATATAGTGTTCATGATCTTATTTCTTGATAATTAATTTAATTACTCTCTTTTTTGCATTTTAGGGGTGAGGTAGGGATCGGCCGAATAACTTGCTGAAGATATTCAAATGTCAGAATGGATTCCTCTTGAGAAGGATCTTTCTATTTCTTGTATTATTTTCAAAATTACTTCATAATTTTCTTTCATTATTTCCTAAAATAAACAAGTTGTGTAAATATTTTGAAGTATATAATTGTACATCATTACAAACCTTTACAATTAAATAGATCTCAATCATTTTTCTACATCGTGTTTCTCAAATGAGGTAGGAATAATCTCTTCGCGTGCCAACCAAGTGAATCGAAGCTTCTCTGAATTAAACCGACTGTTATAAAAACTTTTCTACCAAAAAAAATTAGTCTTTTTAAATTAAAACTATAAAGTATACAATTTTTGAATTTATATTTATAATAAAAAAATGAATCATTAGAATTCCTAAATTCAATAGTTAGATCACATTCTGAATAAATCTTACTGACATGTGATAGTGACGGTTCCGTGATGTGGCGCGGTAAGGTGTGTCACATCATACATGCTGTATTATCTGGAGCCGTTGCAGTAGAAAGGGCCCAAACTCCCCCCGGAAATCAAAATTGAGTTTTTGTAAGATTCGAATAAATTTCGAGACTGGCTACATTTTTTGATTATAAATAGAGATTGATTTGCTTAATAAAAAATTGAATATTTATAAAAATTTTTAGAAGATTCGTACATCACGAGATTATCTGATATAACTAACTAATCAAATCACAGAATTTTGATTGGCCCGGATCAGTCCGAACAAAATAAACACATTTCTGAGTTTCGGCCCTTTCTACTGCAATGGCCCCATCTGATATCAGATATGTTGTATGTTACGTACATGCGATGATTACGTATATAATTGTCATGGGAAGACATTCATATAATTGGCTAATTTTGTAGATCTACCTGTGATTTCCCGTTATAATTAAACAATCAAATTACATAATTTTTAAACAAAAAAAAACTTCATATAAAGAAGTAAAAAGTTCACACAAAAAAGAATTTATCACATATACTTAGAGTATAGATAGACGCGCATAAAGTGGGTAAATACAACATTTATTGCTATTAAATCCTAACTTATTAAAGAATTTACAAAACACAAACAAATCTCTAATTTTTGGTTGACAAGCCCAAATACACTATAAAAACCGACTAAATTTAAACATTAAATCTGGATCTTCTATAATTAAAGAGCTGGACCTATTCAACTTAAACAGTTAGCAATAAGAATTTATTTAAATCTAATGTAATAAAGTGGGTGGTTTTTGACGAAACATTTCCAGTTACTTTCACTCTACAGTGTAATTTCACGCGGTCCAAAAGGCGTTGTGCATATTTTGTTTTCTAAGCGAAGTGTATGAGGAGTGGATGATTTAGAGATTATTTTGCATAGTAAATACTGACGTTGCTTCGAAGTTAGAAATGGCTTTTGTGGTGATTTTTTATTAGTGAAACGTCATGTTCTCAAAAAGTACTTTAAAGTGTATAAATGAGTTACCCGGGAAATTGATTTACATCAGCCAATCATATGAATGTCCTTCCATGAATATAATTAGCAACCACCATATTATAGACAAGTCTTGCGCAACCTATCCACTGTTTTAATAAATTCTTTTGTAATGCGTTTGGATATACACGAATTTTAATTGATCGTGTTAATGGTGCCTTTTTTGTTCACTTCGCTCGTCGTGTTGTCTGTACCTTTTCACTTTCCATTATGAATTTTACTGTCATCATTATTAACATTTTCAGTCAATTGATTAATTCTACGAATTATTCCAATGAGTTTTACAATTATTTTCTCTTTATTAGAATTAGATATTTCTACTATTTCTATTTTTTCTTAAAAGTTATCAATTAACTTTTGTTGATTGGCAATCTTTTTCTCGTTATCTATACAGTCTCCGATTTTATTCTTTAACTTTTGCAGCAATGATTTATTTATTTTTTTTGATTTCTTAAGGTCTTTAAAATTATTCGCAATTGTACTTTGGGAATTTAATTGTACTTGACACATTTTATCGTGAAGTTCTTTGTATATTTTATCTTTTTGGATGATTTGTTGACAGAGAAAATTTATTTCGCGTCTAAGGAGAAAATTATCATTTCAGATTCGTTTATTTATTTGTTTAAGAAGCAAATTATCACTTATGACTTGTTTAAGTAGCAAAATTTCACTTCTGATTCATTCATTTTCTTGTTTCAAGAGCAAATTTTCATTCTGATTCGATTATTTTCTTGTTTTTCTTCGTTCATCTGGTCATTTTGGGATTCATTAGTCTCCTCTTCATCGTCATCCACTTTAATAACCAATATCGAATAATAATCATCAGCATTGGGTTCTTCGGCATTAGAAGCATTATAAAAATTAAAAAAAGTAAGAGTAAAAAGATAAAAAATATAATAAACAGTTTTGAGGGTGCAAATAGCAAAAATGATATCCATTTTGCAAATTAGATTAAATTAGATTCCAAAGAAAGTTTCTATCAGGATTTATATACTTTCATGTGAATTTGACTTCTGCACAACCTTTCTTAATGCACAAGTAATCTCTAATTCTAAAAAAAAAATTTAGAGCAAAAATCTTTTTTTTGATTCAAAAAATTTTTAATACCTGATTTTTCGCAAATATGCATTATCGCGCAGCATTTTGAGGCCTAGCACGCGTATTAGAATGCATGTTATGTTCTTTAGTTAGAATCTAACTGAGCAACTAAACAATTTACAAATTCAATTCATTAGAGCTCAGATCTAAATTTATTTTTACATAATCAAATATTAAATTCGGCTTCAACTTCTTAGTGCATACTAGCTAGAAACATTCTGCATAACATGTAAATTACTTTAAGTAAAACTTAATATAAATAAATACAACCAATTATTGTAATATAAAAACTGGTTTTTA